GGGGTAATACCTCTAAGAAATTATTCCATCAAACATACTCCCCTTTGGATCCAGGAATAGCGACATGTATTAAATGCCCTATCCAACCCAAGGAACTTACGCTGAAGAGTCCTGGCAAATGATGGTTCTACGAGATTAGGCATTTTTGAACCACGAAATGCTATTTCCATTTTGGTTGTAGGTGTAACCAACCTGCTATTAAGGATATGGCATAAAGAATTAATAGAAAAAGAGCTCTAGTATAAAGATCTTCATTAGTGCGTAAACTGATTGTATACCACCACTGATAAACACTAGAATAAGCGATATTCACTGCGCCAAGAGCACCTACTTGAGTAAAAGCTTCCACAGCCGGTTGACCAAAATGAGGATCCCAAATTTCATGACCAATAGGTCTTATATGTAAAGGGCCCTATACCCATTATTCAAAATTTCCTTACCAAGCTACATGAAACGAATTTTCGAAAGTTCATAGAAAAATTATTGCTAATTGACCGAAGTGAGAAGCAAAAATATTCTAAGAAAGACATTCCTCAGTAATATCATCATGACTCTCGATGTCATATGCGGTAGCAATACCAAACCAAATACAACGAGCAGTGGGTTCTGAGCTAAGCCTTAGCTAAACCTTGGAAATCTTAATGCCATAATGACTTTCAAATCCTCCTAGCCATTATCCTACTACAATAATTCTTGCTAAGAAGAACGCCCATGTTGTTGCAATTCCACCCAGAAGGTAATGGGTTACTCCTACAACACGTCCTCGTACAATGCTCAAGGCTCTCGACTGAGTAGCAGGAGCAACTTTTAATTTATTATGAGCCCAAACATTGCATTCAATAAGTTCTTGCCAATAACCCGATTTGCAAAATAGAGACATCAAACTAAAAGCCCATACAAAATGAGCACCTAGGAAAAAAAGTCCATACGCAGATAATGACGAACCTTAAGACTGAATTACCTGGGATGTCTATGCCCATAAGAAATCTCGGAGCCACCCATAAATAGTAATAGAACTCTGGTCAAGTTTCCTCCCATGATATGAGTTACTACCCCTTGATCACTTATACTCTCTCAAACATCTGACTGTATTTTCCAACTGAAATAGAATATTAGTATCGAAATGGAATTGTACATCCAGAATAGTCCTAAGAAGACATGATCCCAAGTCGATACTTGACATGTACCCCCTTTTCCAGGTCCATCACAAGGAAAATGAAAACCAAGACTTGCTTTATCCGATATCAAATGGGAGCTACGAGCAAATAAAACACCTTTCAGGAGTATCAATATCATGAAATGAATTGTAAATGCATGGATGTGATGTACCAAAAAGTCTGCGATTCCTAACAGAATAGGTTACAAAGCCACTTTACCACTCACTGCTACTAAATCACCACTTCCTAAGCTAAACTAGTGCTTGCTGTTGCACTAGGAGCCGTTCCACCAGGTGCTAAAGCATGGGTATTTTATATCCATTAAGCAAAAATGGGTTGTAATTGTATAGCGATATCTGAAAACATATCTTGAGGACGCCCTAAAGTACTCATGGTATCATTATGAATATATAAACCAAAATTGTGAAAGCCTAGAAAGATACATGGCCAATTTAGATGTGATATGATTACATCATGATGTCTAAGGACACGATCTAATAGATCATTGTATCAAGTAGTTGGATCATAATCTCTTACCATAAAAATGGCTGCATGCGCAGCAGCACCAAATATGAGAAATCCACCAATCCACATGTGATGTGTAAACAATGACAGTTGGGTCCCATAGTCAGTAGCTAGATATGGATAAGGGGGCATTGAATACATATGGTGAGCTACAACAATGGTTAAAGAGCCTAACTTAGCTAGGTTAAGAGATAATTGAGCATGCCATGAGATTGTTAGGATCTGATATAGGCCTTTATGACCCTAACCTATAAATGGACCTTTATGAGCTTCTAAAATATCTTTTCGGCCATGGCCAATGCCCCAGTTAGTCCTATACATGTGACCCATCAGGAATAGAATTGTAATAGCTAAATGATGGTGTGCAATATCAATCAACCATAGACCCGCAGTTACTGGATCTAATCCTCCACGAAAAGTAAGAAATTCTGTATATTTTGATCAATTCAAGGTAAAAAATGAGGTTGCTCCCTTGGTAAAATTTGGATAAACTTGAGCCAAAAGTTTTTGATTCAAGATAAATTCATGAGGAAGCGATATCTCTTTAGGATATACTCCAACGTTTAAAAATTGGTTAATCGATAAAGATACATGTACTTGATGCCCCGCCCAAAAGAGAGACCCAAGTCCTAGTAGCCCTGCTAAATGGTGATTCAACATAGATTCTACATCTTGAAACCATGCCAATTTTGGGGCCGCTTTATGATAATGAAACCAACCAGCAAAGAGTATTAACGTTGTAAAGGCCAATGCACCAATTGCGGTACAATAGAGTTGTAATTCACTAGTTATTCCAGATGCTCACCAAATCTAAAAAAACCTAGAGGTTATTTACATTCCTCGAAAATGCCCCGCCCACATCACCATTCAATATTTCTTGGCCCACTATTGGCCAAACCACCTGGGCACTAGGCCCAATGGATCATTTAGCCACGCTTCATAATTGGAAAAATGAGCACCGTGGAAATACATACCGCTCAGCCAAAGAAAGATGATAGAGAGTTGACCGAAATGGGTACTAAATATATTTCGAGAGATCTCCTCCAAATCACTGGTATGTCTATCAAAATCGTGAGCATCAGCATGTAGGTTCCATATCTAAGTGGTCGTATTAGGTCCTTTAGTTATTGTTCTTGAGAAATGGCCTGGACTAGCCTATCCTCGAAAGAAGGTTTTACGGGAATCCCTATCCACCAAAATTTTGACTTCTAGTTCCAGTGAATGAATAATCATTGAGTCCTCCTCTTTCCGGACAACACAGACAAAGAGACCCGCCAACAGTCAAATAATTAGTAAACCTTTGAGAGATATTTCTATAATTAGTTTGTTTCTCTTCTATATCCCATTTATCTATTTTCTTTAGTTATTCACTAGAGCAATTAGGATTTGGAGGTTGATTCGGGGTAAATGTTTGGATCTATTATGACATAGCCATGAGGCCCTCAACGGACCTTTTTTATATTATAAAATCTTATAAAACCCTTTTGTAGATTTGGATTGATGCAAAAACTACGTTTTTGTACAACCGATGTAGATTTATATCTCAATTAGAAGGTCTTAGATAGAGCTACTTTATCTTTTCCATAGATGATATGAATTACTCTATTCCAAATCACGCGAGCAGCCATTACTAAGAGACATCCTGGTACATATTTTATTTAGTTGTTAATTTAGATTTAAATTTAGGTTTTTAAAAAAAGAATTCATTTTCATATTAGTAATAAAATTTTTGATAATAAAAAAAGTAAGGAAGTATATTTTTTACTCTATCCCTTTTTTATCCCTACGAAATATCAGATGAAATAGAATGCTTAGAAGGGATATAATGAAATTCTTTGATTGGCTCTTCCCAAAGCGAAGGAATGATCCATTTTTTTATTTGATTGATCAGCAAACAAAAAATTCTAACAAATATATATAAATAATAGAATAGAATTAATAAACTAAATAAACGATGTCTTCTTTTATTCAAAACGCCCCGTGATCTTCAACCAGTTATGTGCTTCAATATAATTACCAGGAGTAAGCGCTATAGCCTATTTCCAATACTCAGCTGCTTGATCAAACCAAGCCTCCACAATTTCAGAATCTACCTGGTGATGGCTTGTTCTCCCCATTCGGAATAGGAAGGTTAATTCATTTCCTTAGAACCGTACTTGAGAGTTTCCTAACTCATATGGCTAATCAATCATTTGGTGTCTCCCGTTAATCTACCATATCTAACGAATGAGATTTCTGCTGGATCTATCCCATTCTGGTGGTTAACCAAAGAGGTTCATTACTTGAGTTTTAAACTAAAATTTGGATTCAATTTGGATTAATAATCCGTTTTATTTCATTTTATCTTTTTTCCCACCTTCAGAAGAATAAATTCCTCCTATCATTAGAATTTTCTGAAAGGTAACTATCTCGGTTTCATATATAAATTTCTATAGAATCTTTGAAAAAGACTTTCCTTCTTAAAAAAGAAAAGACTTACTATCTTTGGGATCTAATCCTACATCGTTGCTCAAGACTTTGGTGGATCGTCTCTATTACATAAGTTGGGTCCTAATTTCTATCTCACATCATGAGTAGGTATATCTACCATCATGACATAAGTACACAATTATTATCGTATCGGCCCAAAACCTCGCTAATTGATCTTTAGGGTGCTTCCTCTATCAACTAGATCCTTTTTTAATCCATAGAAAAAAGTAGCTAGGCATTCTATTTCTTCATATTTTGACTTCTACGAAGTTTCTTTCTTTGCTACAGCTGATAAAAATCGTTATTTTAGACGATGCATATGTAGAAAGCCTATTTTTTCATATTTACTAGCAGATTTTTTTTCTTTCTATAGTGGAGATAGTTGCACATTATGACAGATCACGACCATATTATTAAAAGCTTGGGGGTAAGAATATGTTTCGTTCTAGTGCTCGAAAATAATATTCCAAAGCTTTCTCATGTTCTCCATTACTTGTATGGATAAGATCTGTATTATAGAGTATATAACTTCGATCATAGGGATCAATTTCTAGTCGCATAGCTTCATAATAATTCTATAAAGCTTCCGCATAATTTCTTTCGAATTGAGCTAACATCCATTACGGTCGTAATTTAAGTAAAAGAATCTCCATTCCAGAACCGTACGTGAGATTTTCATCTCATACGGGTCCTCCCTTATGTGCATAAGGAGAATAATACATGAAATAAAAAAAATGAAAATATTCTCATTACGAACTGAGCAGGGCTAGTGTTTTTACAAGAAATCTCTAGCCAACCTTCCTGCAAGAGATCTTTTCTTAACATCAAGCATGTTGGGACTAGATAGAAATGAGAACTGCAACAATTTCTTTATTTTCAACGCCTCCTAATTTCCAGGAATTAGTCACTTCAATAGCCTTCGATGGTTATATGGGTATCCAAAGTATGAATGGGATGGATATTTGGTGTCCCAACCATTCTTTTAGTCCCGAGCCCGATAAGGAAATAGATAATTTCTAACAAAGTTTTTGTGTTGTTGATTCCTAGTGTATACCCATGGATTGGCTAGTCCCTTTTTGGAAGGCTATAATTTCTTAATGGCCACAGTTTCTACTCTTGCTAATAGTTTAGTGCATTCTTTATTGTTACTGTGGGATCCTGAAGCACAAGCAGATTTTACTCATCAGTGTCAATTAGGCGGTTTGTGGACTTTTGTTGCTCTCCATGGCTCTTTCAGACTAATAGGTTTCATGTTACGTCAATTCGAACTTGGTCGAATTGTTCAATTGCAACCTTATGATGCAACCGCATTCTGTGCTCCAATTACTATTTTTGTTTATGTATTCCTGATTTATCCACTAGGTCAGTCTGGTTGGTTCTTTACACCTAGTTTTGTTGTAACAGCTATATTTCGATTCATCCTCTTTTTTCAAGGATTTCATAATTGAACGCTAAACCCATTTCATATGATGGGAGTTGCCAGTGTATTGGGTGCTGCTTTGCTATGTGCTATTCATGGTGCTATCGTAGAAAATAATTTATTTGAAGATGGTGATGGTACAAATACATTCTGAGCTTTTAACCCAACTCAAGCTGAAGAAACTTATTTAATGGTCATCGCTAACCAGTTTTGGTCCCAAATCTTTTGGGTTGCTTTTTCCAATAAATGTTGGTTATATTTCTTTATGTTATTTGTACCAGTAGCCAGTTTATGGATGAGTGCTCTTGGAGTAGTCGGTCTGGCCTGAACCTAAGTGCCTATGACTTTGTTTCTCAGGAAATTCGCGCAACGAAAGATCTTGAATTTGAGACTTTCTACACCAAAAATATTCTATTAAATGAAGGTATTCATGCTTGGATGGCAGCTCAAGATCAGCCTCATGAAAAACTTCTATTCCCTGAGGAGGTTCTACCATGTGGAAACGTTCTTTAATGGAACTTTAGTTGTAGCTGGTCGTGACCAAGAAACCACTAGTTTTACTTGGTGGGCCGGGAATGCTCGACTTATTAATTTATCCAGTAAACTACTAAGAGCTCATGTAGCCCATGCTGGATTAATCGTATTCAAAGGGGTAGTAATAAGTCATATAGAATCAATTGATTCATGGTAAACTCAAATCCTTCGATGATGTATTTTATTACAAATTTTTGGCTGATAGAGGGATCAAATGGTATAGTTCATTTGTTGGTATCTTGGAAAATTAAAAACATAACTCTTGTTTTCCAATTGGCTATTTTGGCATTAATTGCTACTTCATCAATCTTATTGATTAGTATACCCGTTGTATTTGCTTCTCCTGATGGGTGGTTAAGTAACAAAAATGTTGTACTTTCCCATACATCATTATGGATTGGGTATTAAGAACAAAAACTGTGGATATGGTCGAATGGTAAAATTTCTCTTTGCCAAGGAGAAGATGCGGGTTCGATTTCCACTATCCGCCGAAGATCAAGATAAAATCATTTTTCCTTTAACATGATTAATGATCGGGTATAGTTGGCCGTAACAGTGTTGCAAGTCTGTCCCTTCTTTTTTTCCTTTCCTACCATCCTCCTTTGTTAGGGGGTAATTAATTACTAGTTAACGGAGCCAAACCCCCTTTTGATTAAAAAATATATTACAGAGACAGGATTTGAACCCGTGACCTCAAGGTCATGAGCCTAGCGAGCTACCAAACTGCTCTACTCGCACTGAAGAGAAGAAGTGAAAACTAATAGACAAACAAGAATTGAATGTGCCCCTCTATCATATTTGTACAAATAGAATAGCCCATTTATACAGAATGGTAAAGAGGCCCTATATTATCATCAACCATAGAAATGAAAGGTTAATCTTTACCAACTTGATCTTGTTGCTCCTGGCAACAAGCACGCATAAACCATTTCCCGAAGTATGTGTTCGGATAGTCCAAAGTCTCGATAGTTATCTCTCAGTCCTTCGGTTCAAAAAACAATGTCGATGAAGGCGTGTAGGTGCACTATTCCATGGCAGGGATTGTAACTTTCCATAAATTTCCCATTTGTCACTCAACGATCGAACTTTGCTTATTTCTTTTTTTTTTTTTTGAGGATCGGCGAATCAAATGATATTTTTGTTCCAAATTTTGCCTCTTTTTCTCCCTCTGAATCAAACTTTTCTTTGCCATAATGGTTTGGGTCCTATTAGTATCCATGATACAAGTCAAATCCTAGATGTAGAAATAGAAGAAGGTGGACCCTCTCTCCATCGAAAGAAATGAGATTATCGTGGATACAATGCATTAAAAAATTAGCCAAATTTTCTCGATGTAGAGGCAATCAAAAAAGCTGCATAAGTGAATATATAACCTACAAAAAAGTGGGCTAATCTAACCAATCTTGCTTGAACAATGGAAAGAGCCATAGGTTTATCTCTCCATCGAATCAAATTAGCCAAAGTGTGCATTCATTAGCCCATGCTAAAGTTTCAATCAATTTCTGCCAATATCCACACCAAGAAATTAAGAACATAAATCCAATAGCCAAAACAAGATGTCCAAATAAGAACATCCATGCCCCAAACCGATAAACTATTCATACCAAAAGGATTATATCCATTGATAAGTTGTGAAGAGTTTAACCATAAATAATCTCTTAGCCAACCCATCAAGTCAGTGGAAGATTCATTAAACTGTAAAACGTTACCCTGCCATAATGTAATGGGCTTCCAATAACAATAAAAAGTAACCCATCCAGCAGTATTTAACATCCAAAAAACTACCAAATAAAATGCGTCCCATGCCGAAATATCACAAGTACCCTCTCGTCCTGGGCCATTGCACGAAAAACTATAAATCGAAATCCTTTTTATCTGGCATTAGCTTGGAACCGAGTGCATCTAAAGCACCTTTTACTAAGATCAATGTAGTTGTATGTAAACCCAAAGCAATAGCATGATGAACCAAAAAGTCTCCAGGACTTATTGTCAAGAATAATGAATTACTATTTTCATTAACAGCATTTAACCAACCGGGCAAACAGATGCTTCGACTTGTATTGAATGTCGAGTCACTCGTTGAAGATAAAAGTACATCGAACCCATATGAAGTTTTCCCATGAGTCGATGGTATCTCTTGAGCAAATATAGGTTTGATCAAAATTTTCTTTTCTAGAGTACCAAAGGCAAGCATGACATCACTATGAACATAAAGTCCCAAGATATGGAATCCCAGAAAGAGGCTGGCCTAACTTAAATAAGATATGACAGCTTCTTTACAGTCTAACATTCTTGCCAATACAATATCTTTATTTTGCTCTAGATTGTTATCTCTAATGAAAAATATAGCTCCATGAGCAAAAGCTCCTGTCATGATGAATCTTGCGATATATTGGTGATGAGTATATAATGCAGCTTGAGTAGTAAAGTCTTGTCCTATAAATGCATAAATAGGTAAAGAGTACATGTGTTGAGCTACTAAGGAAGTAATAACACCTAAATAAGCTAGAGCAAGACCTAATTGAAAATGAAGCGAATTATTGATTGTGTCATAAAGACCCTTATGCCCTTGTCCCAATCGTCCCCCCAGAGGTATATGCGCATCTAAAAGATCTTTGATACTGTGTCCAATCTCAAAATTCGTTTGATACATATGACCAACAATAGGAAAAATAAATGCAATAGCTAGATGATGATGAGCAATATCGATCAGCCAAAAACTTTGTGTTTGTGGATGGAATCTCCCAAGAAGAGTTAGAACGGCAGTTCCCGCTCCTTGGGAGGTCCTAAATAAAAGACTACTTGAATCAGAGTTTTGAGCATAAAGATTCCACTGACCTTTAAAAAGTAGGCCTAACCCTTGGAGATGCAGTAATACCTCTAAGAAATTATTCCATTGAACATACTCCCTTTTGGATCCAGGAATAGCGACATGTACTAAATGCCCTATCCAAGCCAAGGAACTTATGCTGAAGAGTCCTAACAGATGATGATTTAGACGACATTAGGCATTTTTGAAACATGAAACCCTTGGTTTCCATTTCGGTTGTAGGTGTAACCAAACTGCTATTAAGTGTATGGCAAAAAGAAATAATAGAAAAAGAGCTCCAGTAAAAAGATCTTTATTAGTCCGTAAACCGATTGTATATCACCACTGATAAACACCAGAATAAGCGATATTCACTAGGCCAAGAGCACCCCTCGAGTAAAAGCTTCCGTAGTCGATTGACCAAAATGAGGATCCCAAATTACATGAGCAATAAGTCTTATATGTAAAGGGTCCTATACCCATGATTCAAAATTTCCTTGCCAAGCTACATGAAACAGATTTTCGGAAGTCCATAGAAAAATTATTCCTAATTGACCGAAGTGAGAAGCAAAAATACCCTGATAAAGACGTTCCTCAGTAATATCATCTTGACTCTCGAAGTCATGTGCGGTAGCAATACCAAACCAAATATGACGAGTCGTGGGGTCCTGAGCTAAGCCTTGGAAATCTTAATGCCATAATGCCTTTCAAATCCTCCTAGCCATTATCCTACTGCAATAATTCATGCTAAGAAGAACACCCATGTTGTGGTAATTCCACGTAGAAGGTAATGGGTTACTCCTAAAACACATCCTTGTATTATGAGCCCAAACGATGGATTCAATAAGTCCTTGCCAATAACCACATTCGCTGAATAGAAACATCAAACTAAAAGCTTATACAAAATGAGCACCTAGGAAAAAAAGTCCATAAGTAGATAATGAAGAACCATAAGACTGAATTACCTGGGATGCCTGTGCCCATAAGAAATCCCGGAGCCATCCATTAATAGTAATAGAACTCTGGGCGAAGTTTCCTCCCATGATATGAGTTACTACCCCTTGATTACTTGTACTGTCCCAAACATCTGACTATATTTTCCAATTGAAATGGAATATTACTACAAAAATGGAATTGTACATCCAGAATAGTCCTAAGAAGACATGATCCCAAGCCAATACTTGACATGTACACCTTCTTCCAGGTCCATCACGAGGAAAATGAAAACCGAGATTTGCTTTATCCGATATCAAACGGGAGCTATGAGCAAATAGAACACCTTTTAGGAGTATTAATACCGTGACATGAATCGTAAATGGATGGATGTGATGTACCAAAAAGTATGTGGTTCCTAATGGAATAGGTAACAAAGCCACTTTGCCACCCACTGCTACTAAATCACCACCCCAAGTGAAACTGGTGCTTGTTGTTGCACCAGAAGCTGTTGCGCCAGGTACTAAAGCATGGGAGTTTTGTATCCATTGAGCAAAAACTGGTTGTAATTGTATAGCGATATCTGAAAACATATCTTGAGGACGCCCTAAAGTGCTCATGGTATCATTATGAATATATAATCCAAAATTGTGATTGCATAGAAAGATACATGCCCAGTTGAGATTTGATATTATTACATCACGATTTCTAAGGACACGATCTAATAGATCGTTGTATCAAGTAGCTGGATC